AAACAAACAAACAAACCTTTGGACGTGTTTAACTTGTCCAATATATATAGGCCACGTTGACATTTCATCAACTCAATCCTAGAACTTCCTTTTAGGCAGAAGTGGTTTATTTATGTCTTGAACATTCCATAAAACAAAATACTACATGGAGTAGATTTTCTAAATTATACCCAGCATTGCCAGAGGCTTACAAACAAATGCTCAAATCTTTTTCTTTCTTTTTTTTTTCGGAGGGGAGGGCGTTACGTTCAGCTGAGCACATTTTTTGAATATTGATGTTGAAGTCGGTATACGGAGCTGTGTTTTTACTTTTTACTGGGCTGATGCTTGTATTAAAAGGGATTTCTACAAACGACTCACCACTGTTTGAGGGGCGAGATTTATATTTAGCTGGGCATCGTTTCGGCTTATAAATTCAAAAAATCAAGATCTTAGGGGCGAAAGTTTCTATGTTATACTTTTTTTCTGGACATGGTTTGAACTTTTAATCTTACTCTATTTTCTTTTACATTAAAGAAAATAATTTGCAGTTTCAGATTCATAAAATTAATTTTAATATTTTGTTAACCAACTTTATAGCTAGTTCAAAAACTTTTTTTTTTCTATCTAGTAATGCGTATTGAAAAGGCAACATATGTCGTGTATAACAGGTAATAGATCAATTTTGTAGTCTAACATGAAATATCTTCGCTTTGTTGCGGGATTCAAAGGCATCAACGTTCCGATCAAGCTCCTCCATTATCCTCAATTACCCCAAATATGTGGGGCCCGTACCTAAAAACATACCCCACTAGGAACCCCCGAGCAGGTATGACACGTTTGGTCCCGTTAGCTTGTGAGTGAAATTATCATATAGTTTCAAATATGGCACCTCGGTGATGCTAAGGGAGGCCAGGAACACAAAATTTGATGTATGGGTGATCTTCAGGGAGCGTTTTAGCCCCACCACCACCTTGATACCCCTTGGTAGTAGAGCTACACTGTATAGATAAGAACACCACCAGGTCACATAAAATCCTCCGACTGCCAACTTTGGTCCTGCTGGCTCCAAAACTGTTGGAGGTATTTGCGGACAAACTAATAAATAGCGTGAAATAATATTGAATGTTAGAAACTCCCTCCTTTAATATTTCATATTCATTTATTTATGTTCTATAGGGATCTATTTACTGGTATACCTTAAGTCGAAAATGATTTCTCAGAAATGATAGCAATTTTAAGTTTATTTAACATTACACGGCCATAGACCCAAAGTATTTTAAGTTATATACAACAAAACGCTATAAGTAACTCACAACCACTAATTAAAAGCAGATTAAAAATAATTTATTTGTTTTCATTATTTGACAGAAAGCTCAATATACAAATAAATATATCTCTTTCATTGACACTGGATTATCAGTATACATTATACTGCAAATGTCTGCAATGTTGGGTTTTAAAAACTTGTGTAGATAAATAACTCAAATGTAGTCTGTTATAAACAGTGTATCTAATTAGAAAATTACTCATCTTCTAAATTTTCTTCTTGCATATAGGATACAGACATACTTAAACACCTTTTATGTTTCGTTTCCAACAATACCTTATTGGTATTTAAATTAATTATTTACTTCTTTCTATAGTGGTGGTATACTCAATGGATTTTCGAAAGACACAGTTTTTATAACTATAGGCGCGGGAATTTTCGGCGTTCCGGTATGATACCGATCATGGTTTTATATTCTGATTTTAAGACACCAACTGGGGATTCGGGGCACGGGCCTCGTGTCTCAGTGGCTAGCGACGACTCTATTTATAACCGTCGTTTAAGGTCGGCCATAACATTATTCATATATTGATTCATCCACAAAGCACCGACTTCACATGAGAAAAGTAGCTTCCTAATTTTGGGGCCCAAATTTCTAGCAAGCATAAAACTATACCATGTGTTAACTTGTTAAAATATAAACTTAATAATTTAAGCCGAAATTGAACATATCTCACATATTAATAAACTTTGGTACCTCCCGCATTTTATAAGAATAAATATTTCAGGTGTACTAGTGCTAGCTTGCAAAAG